TGCGATGACATGAATCCTTCAGCTAGCCTGATAAAGGTGATTATAATATATACAATAAAGCTTGAGCTGTCCCTCTAGAGCAATTGGTTAAACGCCCCAGCTTTATGGATAAGATTCAGCTAGCCAGACAATGGCAAATTATATCAAATTTACTAAATAAGAAGTTTCGGTGAATATGGACTAAGGGAGTTGAGGAACACATGTTATAGTTAACTCACACGAGCACTCAAAAATCTCAATTTTAGACCGATATTCCTGCACTACCTTGACTACTAAGTGAGTCTACGAAGCCTGAACAAACGGAAGATTTCAGAGAACTGAAACAGAATTATTCTGAAAGGCCTGGATATTGATTATGCTAGTTGTGTCATTTTGTCCACCTCCAATTAAAATGTTAAACCAAGAAAGAGGGGCATTATATGATCTTCACGATGACTGAATTGGGGAAACAAACCCTAGAGTTTAGGTTGCCAACCTCTAAATCATCCTTTTATTCTTGATATTTGTCAAAGATTCACAGTTTTCAAAGATTAAAAGAGTAGTTAATTATTTGATATCCAATGAACTCTTGTTTTATGATTTGCTTGTGAAACCCAGAAGGAGTTAATATTTTTCAAAATTCCTTTTGATGTATTTCAAAATTTTGAAAATTCAAAGGAAGAAAAATATTTTCAAACAGGACAGTCTCAAATATGAAAGGTCCTTGAAGCTATAACTCGAGAAGAAAATAGGGCACGATCGATTCCCATGACCAAATCGGCAGACAAAGCACGAGACTCCGTCCTCATTCATATTGCATGCACCTTAGACATATTTAAGAGCATCACATTCATCATTTTAGCATATATGATTTTTGCAACTTTTAGAGTCAAGTTTCGACTTCAGGATGAAGGATACTCGATTCAAAAGTGCCTTTAAAGAACGATGGTGGTTGTTTAACTCAGCATAGAGAAGCTACTGACTTGATGCATTGAAAGATTGACAGATCTCAGAATCAATTTCAGATAGGTTCGAGAACCAATTGAGAACAAATTCAGTTCATCTCAACTCAACAATGAGTACCAGGTTTCCAGTTAATGTTTTCAAGCCAGATTTCAACTACACGACGGAGGATATCGTGCCCATGTACACAAGATTGTATTTCAACTTCACGATGAATGATATCCAATTCAAAGCTCAACTTCACAACGAAGGGGCTTCCCAGTTTCATTCAGAGCCAATTTCAACTTCACGGCGAAGGATATTGGACTCGAAACAACACATCCTTATATTGGATTTCAACTTCACGATGAAAGATATCCAATTCAAGGCTCAACTTCACAACGAAGGGGCCATCCACGATTTCCACTTCACGACAAATGATATCGTGCCCAGTGCAGCATAACTCAATGCTAGAAGGGTTAGCTGTCATCAAAGACCTTCGAGTTCGACTACGCTCAACTCCAAGGCACATCATTTGTAACATAACTCAAGGCTAGAAGGGTTATTTGCCAACAAAAGACCTTCGAGTTCGATTACACTCATCTCAAGGTACATCATTTGCAGCATAGCTTAAGGCAAGAAAGGATATCTGCCAAAGACCTTCGAGTTCGATTACACTCAGCTCAAAGGCACATCATTTGCAGCATAGCTTAAGTCGAGAAGGGCTATCTGCCAACCAAAGACCTTTTGAGGCACATCATTTTACAGCATAGCTCAAGGCGAGAAGGGCTATCTGTCAGTAAACCTTCGATTTCGATTACACTCAGCTCAAAGGCACATCATTTGCAGCATAACTCAAGGCGAGAAGGGTTATCTGTCGTCAAAGACCTTTGAGTTCGATACACTCAGCTCAAAGGTACATCATTTGCAACATAACTCAAGGCGAGAAGGGTTATTTGTCGTCAAAGACCTTTGAGTTCGATTACACTCAGCTCAAAGGCACATCATTTGCAGCGTAACTCAAGGCGAGAAGGGATATTTATCATCAAAGACCTTTAAGTTCGATTGTATTCAACTCAGAGGCAAATCAAATTTACAACATACCTCAAGCTGGGGTTTTCAACTCAAGAAGAAGATCTGGGGTAATCTCTCAGCTTAGTACATCATAACTCAAGGCGAGAAGGGTTATCTGTCTATGAAAACTTTCGAGTCCGATTCCGTTCAGCTCGATGACATATTGACTACTTTCCAGTCAAATTTTTAAACCAAGGTCTTTAAATCGAGAAGAATACCAAGGCCCAATTCCATGCTCAACCTGAAGCCCAATTACAGTTGTTCTCCAATAATAAACACATCAAAAAAAAAGAATCGGACAAAAACTGATTGTTTTTTTCATCTTTGCCCTATTCTTGTTGACACAAGAATGTGCAAAGAAGGGCATCAATCTTTGGTTGTGGGCCAAATAGATGAAAATTGTTGTTTTACGTCTTTGTTTTATTCTTGTTTCACAACAACAAGCAAAGAAGGGCAGCTGTAATCACTAATTTTCAAAATGAAAAGTCAGAAAAACAGCTTACCCACCACACCTGCTCCCATCATCCCATGTTTCCTGCATAAATTTACGCATGATCAATTTGTAATTTTTTTATGTTGAAATTATGTAAAGTTTGGCTATAAAAGCCGAGCAAAATGTATGAAGAAGAGACAACAATAAAAATACAGAAATTTTCAGCAATCCTAAGGTATTTTAGTTTATATTTTAGTTTCTTTAATTTATTTGTTCAATTCGAATGCAACTAATAATAGGAATTTTAGTTTGTAATTTTGTTCGTAGTTAACGTAAATTCCATGAGTTTTTAAAAAATAATTAAAATAGAGATAGTGAGTTAAGTTACCTTGCTGCAGTACGTCAGAGTAAGGGTGTCGCCGTCGTTGAGTCTAGAGCCGAGTGGTAGGTATGGCTCTCGAGTTCACTTGAGATTTGGTCGCCATGTTTGCTCTGTCGCGCTGGTGAAGGAAAAAAAACAGAAGACTAGAAATGAAAAACTGATCTGGTTCACGTGTAGAAGGAAGAAAGGAAAGATATTAAGCTTAAAAGAATTTTGGTTAAATCACTTGTTAGGCCACTAGTTTTTAGGAGCTTTATGTTTTGTTCACATATATTAATTGTTAAATCACGCATAAGGTCCTCATATTCAACGTGTTTTGTGCTTTGATCCTATCAGGGTAAAATCACCTTTAAGCTCCCTTATTTTAATGTTTTTTGCACTCTTGTCATATACTTTGTTATGTGTTTCGAATATGCATATTTATTTTAATAATCTTCGAATTTAATCACTGTTTATTTTTATTTAGTTATTGTCTTTTGTTTTATTACATTTTAATCCATATAATTAGATTTTATTATAATGTAAGCCCCTGTATTTATTTTAAATTGATTGTTTATGATCTTATTTGTTCATATTTATTAGGTCATTCTAGTTTCTATTAATACTATTTTAATCCTTTAATTTTCTATTTGTGTTATTTTAGTACTTTACTTTTTTCTTTTTGCTATTTAATCCCTTAAGTCTTTGATTTTTCTCTTGCGGCTCATTTTTATAATTAATTTGATCTATGAATTTTAATTTTTTCCTATTTAATCTTGTTTTAATTTAAATTTTTTTCATTCCTTTTTATTTACCTTTTATATTTTATTTTTTATACTAACTATTTGTCTTTGTTTGTTTTAATTTTTTACTTTATTCATGATATTTTTAGGATAATTTTAATCGATCAAAAGGTAAATAGTTATGATTGAATATTTTAATTTTAATTTTAATTTTTGTAATTAAGACAACCGACAAATTAAATGGTACTGAAAAGACAGTTCAAGGGTATTAATCCTTCCTTGGCTGTAATCGACTCCCGAACCCGTTTTCATCGAATCTTTGTAAACACATACAAGTTTTTCGTCTTAAAAATAATTTTTCTTAAAATAATTTTTGAAAGACGTTTTTAGGTATTCGAACTACCTAACCCAAAGGTCGATGGCGACTCTTTTTCAGACTCTATCCAATTTAATTCAAAATCACCGAATTTTTCAAATTAAAAATTTTTCAAATTAAAAGTTGTAACTATTTTTAAAAAATAACATTTAATTGTTCCACTGAAAAATGGTTATGACAATTGGTTTTATGGTTTATAATATATTTAATTGTTTTTTTAATAATATTACTTTTAAGATTTAAAGTTGAACTTTTATTTTAAATAATATAATATATTTTATCTTTACGTATGGTATTAATTAATAATTTATTTATACTTATATTTATTTATAGTTTTGTGTTTTTATATTTCTCGTATTATTCTTTATTTATTTTTCTGCGTTGTTTTTAAATTTTATTTCAATGTATTTCTTAATATTATTTCCAGTAGTTTATAAACCAAATTTCAACCAGGTGAAAATTATAAATTGAAATAATTTTTGTTAGGGTGTTAAAAAATACTCAAAATACTTGATTCAATTATTCGTCAAATTTTAGATATTTGTATTTATATTTTTATTAATAATCTATTTTCTATTTCTTTTCTAAAATTTTAGAAGTTTGTTCTCATTGATATATTCGTTCTTGTGTGTGAAATCTATTTGATTTAAAGTGCTTTTGAGTTGTTTGTTTTAAAAATTGAGTGTTTGAGGTTATTATCAAAAGTGTTTTTAAGTAGATAAAATAGCTATTTAGATATTGTTTTTGAAAATTTAAAAGAATGGGTGATATAAAGTGGACAAATGAAGCATGAATCAAACGATCTCGGTAGTAAATGAATTGTTATTATTCTTTAAAATCTCGAGTCTAAGCACAATGAATATCAGAGATGTGAACATTCAATACTAAATGGTTAAAAGCTATTTTGAACAGCCCGATGGTCGGTATTTTGAAATCTAAAACAAAACATTCACATATGCTCATAAGCATGAAACAAATAAACCCCAAGTTTTTGCATATTAACAAGCTATCATACTAAACCAGATTCCATCATGCAAACCAGTTTTTGCTTATCTTTGTTTATTAGTTTTCACTGTCCCCAGTTCCCATTTCTCAACAATTTAAACGGTTCATGTCGACCAAGGTCCCCGCCATTTCTATCATTAGCTCTTCTTCATCATCATCTACTGCTTGGACTTGTTCCGGTTGCACACCATCAGCGGCTGCATCTTCTATCTTGGTTTCAAGAAACTGAATCAGACCCTGTAACGCTTCTTCAACCCTCTCCTCCTTCATCAACGTCTCACCCACTTCTGCAGGCGTCACCTTCTTCGTCTTCAGCAATTCCTCGATCTCCATGAACTGTGGGTGCTCTGTTATCCCGAGGTAATTGGAAGCCAACATTCTGAACCCACATGGAGTTATGTAGGACATGTGGATCTGCACATCGATTCGACCAGGGCGTAGCAAAGCCGGGTCGAGCCGGTCCTTGTGGTTCGTTGTGAACACTATGATCCTTTCATCCCCACAGCTCGACCATAAGCCATCGACGAAGTTGAGCAATCCTGACAGAGTCATTTGAGATAACTGATTAGGTCGATGAGGCAACACAGGCCTGGATTGAGGAAGCCTATGCATTTCCAAGGAACAGTCAAGATCTTCCACAACGAGTATTGATTTATTCCCGGTTGCAATCAGCAACTTCCTCAGCTCGGAGTTGTCTCTGATTTCAGACAACTCCAAGTCATATATATCAAAGTTAAGATAATTGGCCATGGCAGCAACCAAGCTCGACTTCCCCGTACCAGGAGGACCAAACAACAAATACCCTCTTTTCCAAGCCTTGCCTACACTCTTGTAGTACTCTTTTCTTCTCATAAATCTGTCCAAATCCTCTATTATATTCTTCTTCAAATCAGAATCCATTGCCAGGGTCTGAAAAGTAGATGGATGATCAAGATTCAGCGACTGCCACATATCCCCTCTCCTCCCATAAACCCTATCAGATTTCAAGGTAAATAACCTCAGGGTCTTCTTTTTCTCCTTCAACTCTTTGGATTTTGCCAATATATGTTGCATGTAACTGTTCAAGATCGTTTCTTTATGTTTCTTGTGGAAGTTTAGCTCGAAGCAGCGAGTCTCACAAGTGAGCAACGGAGGGTTGTAAGGATCATGGGGTGAGACGTTCTTGGAAGGGAAGTTTTTGGACACAAACTTCCATTTCACTTGAATCCCATTGAAGTTGTCAACGATTTGCTCACTGTTTTCAAGGGAAAATGAAATCTTGCCTTGCTTCTTTGGCATGGTTAGTCTGATCCTCTTGGTGTCGGGAGGGATTGTGGGCTCGAGATAGAGTTGTGCAGCCTTGTAAAGATGGTTGTCGTTGAGGCCATCGAATTCTTCGATGACTAAGGTGGTGTATGGAGTGAAAGAGAGGAGGAGGCTCTTGATTTTGAAGAAGATATAGTCTCGGAGCTCTGGGGGGACGAATTCATGGGCGATTGATCGAGCCAATATGGCGGTGGCGGCAACTGATGCAGCAGACGAGAAGGCGAACTTGGCAGTGGAGACTTGGTTGTTATTGGCATCGAAAAAAACAGTGGGTTTTCTATTCGTATCCATTTCTTTTACAGTAGAATAGAATGAAGAAGAAGAAGATGGAAGAGTTGCTGAAATTTAAAGAGCGGGAAGGAAGAAACAGTGTTCTTTATCTTGTTGAAAACGTTAAGTCAGTTGGCAAGTTTAAAAGAAGTTATAACTACATTCCAAGTCATTCAGATATTATTATCTATTATTATTTTGAATAGCATGGATCGAGTACAACTTAATATTTATTCGAAAAACTTTTAATTATTTGACAATAGACGCTCAAGTACCTTCTGTAGAAAAATAAAACAACAATCCTTTTAGCCACTTAAATAGTTTGGTTCTTGCTCATTCAAATATTAATTATGTTATAAATGAATCATATTTTTTTAAATATATATATATATATAATTTAAGTATATAATTAAAATATTATTATATCATTGACCCAATAAAATTAAATAGAATAGTTACATGTGATAATAATTTTAGTCGTAAAAAATTATATATCTTATTAATTAGATCATAATTCAACAAATTTAACGTTTGTTAATATCAATTTAGTACTTGTTCTTATACTAATAAAAGATATAACATTAAAAATATTAACTATAAATACCTTTCTATTTATAAATTTTTGTATTAGATTAATTAATGATTTTAAAATAGAGTACTCTAGTTGTAGACACTCATTTTTGTCCAGGTCTTTTTTTCATTTTATTTATATTATTTATTATTATTATTATTATTATTATTTTGAATTTTACATATCACACTTTTGCAGGCCTTGAAGCCCATATCAAATTACAAAGGCCCAATCCCGGAGCCCAACATTGGACCCAACTCAGTTACAAGTCCAACAGTCCACTGCAACCCAAAACCCGGATCTGGACCCAATCCAGACTTGACCCAGCAACCCGAAGAAGAACAAATTTGACCCGACCCAGCTCCCTAGGGTTTTTGAAACCCTAACCCTAGGATATCATACTACTGATACCGCCGCCGCTCTCTGTTGCTGCCGACGGTCTCTCCTGCACACATCCATTGAACAGTGACCGGTTCCCCACTACATTAGTCGAGCAAATAAAAGAAGCCCCATAAAAAATATTACAAAATCAAACACTTTCCCGAGGCAAGTCAAATATCATCAAAAGCCATCATCAACAACCATCAACCAGATCTAGCATGCAAACATAAAATAAGGAAGATAGAGAGGAGATGGAACCATTCGGGGGGTTTCAATAAAAACAGAGAGAAAAAACAAAGGGCATTCGGGTTCAAGGAAAGAAAAACCGAACAAAAAAACACAACAAAGAAAAAAAAGAAACAAGGAAAAACAAAGAGAAAGTAGAGAGAAAAAGCCCTTACCTGGATCGGAAAAGCGTTGGGAAGCCGAAGGGGTCGTCGGTTTTACACGTTTCGAGAGGAATAAAACCTAGATCTAGGGCTTTGAGGGGGGTTTTGGATTGAATGGTTTTGATTTTCGGGATGAGGGTGAAAGAGGGAATCTTTTGAGGGTGGTTGGCTTGCTCCGACCACCGTACGCCGCCGTGCTCCACCGTCGGCCCCACCGTGAGAGCCTCCGGCCACCGTGGTCGTTCTCCCTTAGTTTGAAAGAGTTCCAGATAACTTCTCTCTCTCTTCATCTGTTTAAAATGAAGCAAGTGAGGGGGAGAATGGGAAACAAAGCCCATTTTGGGCTTATTTAGTTCACGTAGAACGACATCGTTCTGGGGGACCTTCTGCGTGTTTTTGGAGTGTGGGTTAACTACATGTTAGGTCCCTTATAGTTTGTAATCGCATATTTCAGCCATTAAATGAAGTCTTATTTATTAGTTTTTGAGCACTTTATTTTCCTTTTTTATGCTTTAGTCCTATTACTACATGTGTTGTTATTATTATTAATATGTAACTTTGGCCACAATATTTGTAATTATTTCATTTTTGTCACTAATTTAGTGGGTTATGTACCTTCTTTGATATTCTAATTTGGACATGTTATTTGTATGGTTTTTATTTTAGTCACTGCTTGGCTTTTGGATTATTTACTGTTTAGTGCTCCATGTTTCTTGTTATTTTATTTTAGTTTGTAAATTATTTATTTATGGGTTATTTATGGTCTTGGTACTTGTATTATTTAATACTTTTTATTTGGGGCTCTGATTTATTTATAGTTACTGTTTTAGTCCCTAAGTTTCTGTTTTTATTATAGCCCCTTAACTGTCTGTAATTACTATTTAGGAGTTTAACTTGCTGTTTTAGTTATTTTAGTCCCTCTAGTTGTTATATTTGTTTATTTGGTCCAATTTTTTTTGTATTTACTATTCAACATTTTAAATTTATGTTAATTATATTTTAGCCCCTTAAATGTTCTTTGATATTTATTTTGGTCTATAATATTTACTTATTTGTACTTTAGTCATTTATATGTGAATGTGTATTTTACTCATTAGTTAATTATTTGTATTATGTAAATAATATTTTTAGTTTCATTTTATGTAAATATTTTATTTTGTATTTTCAATTACATTTATTTCTACTGCATTTTATTTATGAATGAAATATTCAATTTTTATTTTCAAGAATACGAATACGTAAAATGAGTGTGGAAAGCACCATTTGGTCGAAGTGATGTGATCCCGTAAGGCATTTTAACGATAAAGTAACTTAAAATAAATCGAGTGTATTTTATGAATTAACTTATTTAAATGATGCAATGCGTTATTTTAATTAACAATTATTTTCATTTTATGTGAATGTAAATTTCAAATGTTTATTTATTTATTTGTATTTGATTCACATTTTTAGTTAATCAATTTATTTGGTTGTAAAAATATTTATTTTCATTTATATTCGATTCGTATATTCATTAATGAGGAGAAAATATTCTTTACTAATAAGGAATAGTCGAGTTAGCTTTCCCGATGGAGGATTGCTAATTTCGAGATTTCTTTTCGAGTCAGAATTTTCTTCTAATTAATTAATTCGAAGCAAATTAATTCAATCTCAATAAATGAATTATATTTTAACTTTATATTCGATTCATGAGTTTCATCATTACGACAACGTGTAAGCGACACAATACCAGTTTTAACCGACTCCCGGACCCATCAAATCGAATTTCTGATAAACGTAGACCGATTTTCGTCTAAAAATAATTTTTCTTAAAATTGTTTTAAAAGGCATTTTTTAGGTATTCGACCTACCTAACTTAAAGGTCGATGGCGACTCTCATTCGATTTAATTCCAACTAATCCAAAATCACCCATTTTTCCAAATTAAAGTCATGATCGTTTTTCAAAATAATAAATAAATGTTTTATATAAAAATGGTTATGACACTAGTGTTAACAAGGGTACCCAAATAGGGATGATGATGAACGATAAAGGCCAAGAAATGTTGGAGGAAAAAAAAAGACTATATTTTGAATTAAACATATAAAATTTGAATACAAAATTTATTATTATACTAGACCACTTAAATTCTATATAATATTTAATGGTCAAATGACCTGTTTGTAACAATATTTTAATTAAATGAATAAATTTTAATTTTGGGAAAGAAAATAACCCGTTTGTAATTTGACTAATAATTGAGTGACCTTAAATGTAGTTTACCATTTCAATCAAACATGAAATTGCATGAAAAAATGTCACCCCAACCCAATACTTGAAGTTTTCATGCATAAATTTTATATCTTTAATCTAGTTAAAATTTGAAGAAACAATACATAGACACGCCTACATCAAAAGCATGTAAGAGAGCAGATTCAGAAAAACTTGCAACTTAATCCCATTCCAACACTAGCACACAAACTTCAATTACTAAGTTACTAAATAGTAAGCATCTACATGATTTCTTCCTCCATTATAGTCATCACCAACTGTCAAAAAGGTCATTTCTATAGCAAGGGATTGACAACAATCACCTAAATTGCTTTCAAAAGTTTACAACAATCCAGGAAACATATCAGAATGATTACGAAAAGAAGTGAGAAATTACTTGTGCACAACAAAGAAACAGTCCCAGCATCTACCTGAAATACATGGAAAATAGAAGTTGGAATGCAAGAACTTGATAAAATAAATGAGAATGTTGTTGGATAAACAGGGGTTCACCTTCTGTACAGATCCCTGATATCTTCCCTTAACAAAGGACTTTCCAGAAAGAGATCATTGCACTCATTCAAATCAACAGTCTCCATATCAAAAACTCGGTTACCACAATACTTGTTCCACTCAAACCACATTTTTGCAATTAATTCCTTCTTGAAACAAGTACTATGATCCTCCTCTTCAGGGGAATCCCCCGCAATCAATCTATACGCATACACTTTCTTCTTTTGGCCAGGGCGAAATGCACGACCTATTGCTTGGCGGGTCACAGATGGATTAAGATGGACATCCAAGATGATAATTCGGGATGCCCCCACCAAAGAAATTCCCTCTCCGCATGCCTTAATAGATCCAAAGAAAACTTTGGCATCAGGAGAGTTGTTGAAGCGATCCATAGACCACTCCCGATGATCAGAACTCGATTCACCCGTGATTGAGAAAACCTGAATTCCTGGTTGCCAACCCTTCATTTTCACAGACAATCTCTCTAAAAATTTCAAGGGAATCAGATACTGACTGAAAACAAGGAGTTTCTCACCAGCTGATTCACATAAATTTAACATGTTCAGAAAAAATTTTGCTTTGACTCCCTCTTTGATATCTAGTTTGTCTAACAAGTCATCCATCTTATCATCTGTCATCTCAGAATTCTCGGAGAAAGAATTTAGTTTTGGATGAAGGTAAACAGCACTGCCAACAGATGAAATCTTGAACTTCCTTTTTTGAGACCTAGTTAACTTATGGACTTCATCCTTCTGTCTAGGACTAAGACTGAGCACAATGGTGAAATCAACAAGTCCAGGAAGCTCATCCAAGAAATCACCTTTATAGTAATGAAGGACTTTGCTGGTCATCTCCCGTAGATCATGGATGACAGAGACTTTCCTCTCAAAATTTTCATCTTTCTGCAGTGTGTGCTCCACCAAATCATAAAAAGCTGCATCAGCTCCAGCTTTTAACTGCTTCT